CCGGTCGGACGAATTGAAAATGGTCGTCATAGTCAGTGCCGTCATTATCTGAATCAGGTTCATTGTCGAGTTCTTCATCCATCTAACAGAGTTTCTTCAAATGTGGGATCAGCTGGTCGGACAGTCATCTAAATAAATTACGTAATCTAGTGTGTGGAATAAAATAAAAATACCAGTTTAAGCTTACCTGGGGTTACTCGTCACCCCAAACACAAATATCATATAAACTATTGCACTGAACAAAAATGTGCGACCAACAACACACACACTTTAACCTCAAATGAACATAGCGGGATCTCCGATGTTGCCAATTTATGCACAAAAAATTAGTGAACATTTGAATTTTCTTTGGGGTGATGCGAAACCCACTAAGCATTACAGGGTTAAGAAGATTGGTCTGGTTCCAGCTTGATGGTTGTCCAGCTCATTATTCGAGAATACTTAGAAACTGGCTGGACAAAAATTATCCAGAAAGATGGATCGGCCGTAGAGGACCAGTCGCCTGGCCTCCACGATCCCCTGACCTAAATCCATTAGATTTCCTTGTGTGGGGATTTCTAAAAAAAAATGTACCAGGCTCCCGTAACCACAAGAGATATGCTAATAGACAGAATCAGGAATGCATGTGATGAAATAAGGCCTTATTTGAATAATGCTATACCACGTTCGATCATTCGTAGATGTGAATTGTGTATTGAATAATTGGGTTTACATTTCGAGCAACTACTTTAGATTTTGTATGTTTGTCCTAACTATCCAATAGCATTTTAGTTGTAAATAATTAATTTAATTTGTTAAAAATAATATTGGAAAATTAAACAAATTAATATTCTGTTTTTTTGGAGTTAGGAATTATTGCTGTGTTTAAAAACACAATCTAAACGATCATCTTAGTTACTTGTAATGCCCAAATCGAAAATGTAAAAAAATATTATTTCCCATAAATAATTAAATGCAACATTTTCACGAGTTCGAACTGTTCGCGGCGCTCCTCTTGGTCTTCTGTTGATCAGTTCACCACGCCTGCGAAGTGATTCAACCCAACGAAGGATGGTGTTTCGCGAGGGAACAGCTCTATTCCGATGAATGTTGAAGTGGCGACGAAACTCACGCTGTACGACGATGACTGACTCATTATTTCAGACGAAACAATCATAGGCGAAAACGCGGTGCTCCACCGTCCAAGGCTCCATAACGGCAACTGGTAAAATAATGCTAGGATCTCACGAGTCAAACGGCACCCTCCCCCCCTCTCGTAGACGGAGGCGGGGGTACTACCCATCCCAAAAACGTCCGTCCTCTCTGCCGCACCCTGTACAAGTTGACCAAGTGCCGACCCATGTGTGCATGAATGCTCCGTATTTCTCGCTCCAGCATAGCATATCATACCAAATTGACGCCGACGTTGATAATTTCAATGCGTTGGCCCTCTGTCTGAACGTGACATAAAGCTAATAGTATGTTTAGATGTATGTACTTAATTGCTATACTTTTAATTTTTACCGGTGGAATAACTATGCAGTTTCCCGGACTGTACAACTGTGTGAATTTGCACATGTTTACCCGTGTGTATCTTTGTACTGCACTGCACTGAGCTTACCTGACAGATTTGATCGTACAGGGAAACCTTCAATACAACACAATGATGAGTTATTATTGTATGATAAATGCTCAAAGCCACCAGTAAAAACACAATGTACAAAACCTCCAGCAAGCGGCGTAATCTATACGCTGGCAGCTGGAAATGAAATTAAAAAGTAAACAAAGGAACCCATTAAGCGGCGATGGCATGCTTCAGTAATTTTTACCGCCGCTTTTGGTCCCCTCGCCGCCTTGATCCCCATCCCCTTTATTGGCACTTCTGCCACACCCACCATTACAACCCCGGGGAGCAATTTGTCACATAAGGGTGAGGGACGCACAGACTCGCAGGTTATAGACTGTACGAACAGGGTGACAAGATCATTAAAAGTTTTTCCCTTAACTTGGAGGATTGTCATAGTAAATACAGTTTTAATGTTCAGGGGGTTGTGTTTTCTGATCGCATGCGATACATTTTGTAGTTGATTTTCAGAGAAGCTGATGATCTATAATAATGTAGGAAGCGTGCAACTGTCTTACAGTTTATCATAGTCAAATCAATTTCGCGTATATATCCTTTCTACTCTACAGATTACAGCACTGGAAAGCATGTCTGACTTCGATGCGTTTTACAGGACGATGATCACAGTATAAGTGGGAATAAAGGATTTGAACTCCATATCAAGGGTTGAATAAGGAGCGACTTTATGTATAGTTTAATGTTTCCGCTAGCTACCTAAATTATTTTCTCGGATAAGAATAGCCGGAATTTCAACTTTGATCGTAGCCTAGTAAGCTGCGACATTTCAGTTTACATAGATCAAGTTTCAGAAATACGTTTACCTGAAATATTTGCTTACACGTTGAGATTTTTCTCTGTGCAACAAACAAAACAGTATTTGGGTCAAGAGGTACTCGTAACAGCATATTTCATTTAACACGTTTGACTTGTCAGATAGTTGGTGTATTGATGAAAAATTGACCGTATTCAGCAAATGAAAGCGCAGAGTTCGAGGCTGCACTCTAGTCCTATATATCGACGACTGTAGCTCCTTGAATGTACCCGTTGATTCCTTCATGTGTATGTCACAAGATTCGCCTATGATTATATTGGTTGATTTCTGACGAGAAAATCTTTCTCTCAACATAATCTATAGGTTATAGTCTATAGCCTGATCCTCAAAAGTACCACATGTATGTCATGTTTTGTATTAGTCTCTGTCAATCATTGTCCAGTCTATTTCCAATCTCCATAGTTACATGTTTACTGTACATTTTACAGTTCTGACCTTCATGCATCGCTTTTTTAAATAAAACTGAAAACGTAAACTGTTCAGTATACATAGATTTCTGAAAAAATACATGTTGGAGATCACAGGTAAACTCTAGACTTGGTACTACACTACTATCTTATTTTCGATTTCGGCAGTTCAGCTTTTCTTTGTTTTCATTATCGCTATTGCTTTTATTTATTCCCTTCAA